GTGTTAGAGAGAGAGGGAGGGAGAAAGAGAGAGAGAGAGAGATAGAGAGAGAGAGCACGAGAGAGAGAAAGAGAACAAGAGAGGGAGAGAAAGAGAGGCGGGCTCGCTGGCACGTGGTAGTATGCAGGCCACTCTTGCATTGACAACTAAAGACGTGGTGACACTCGGGCGTAGAGCAGCCTCGACTAATTGCGACAGGAAACAGTGACAGGTGACAGTGACAAGGACGTTTAGAAACGTTGACATCTTGCGGTAAAGATCTGCTTAATGTCCACGCACCGTGGCGCCTCGCCTCAGGTAATGTCACACTCGTGCGGTCAGCAGTCATGATTAATGCGTGGGCGTGTGTGCGTGCGTGCGTGCATACGTGTGTGTGTGCGCGCGCGTGCGTGCGTGCGTGCGCGTGCGTGTGTCCGTGTGTGCGCGCGCGCGTGCGTGCGTGCTTGTGCGTGTGCGTGTGTGTGTGCGCGCGCGCGTGCGTGCGTGCGTGCGTGTGTGTGGGTGTGCGTGCGTGTGTGGCGCGCGTGCGTGCGTGTGTTTGCGCGTCTGTGCGTCCCTTGTGTCATCATCCGGTATGTCATCCTTGTGTCATGTATCACCCGGTGTAAACTCCGCCGGCGCGACACCTGACATCTTTGTGACGAGCAGACGCCGCTAATAGAAGGAATCTTACCTTTGTCGGCGACGCAGTGCAGTTCTAACTTCTTCTCCGTCTCCCAGTAGCTCTCCAGCTCGGTAAAGTACTTATCCAGGATGAACATTTTCGAGAGGCTTACGGTGTTATTCATCTTCACAATCGGGTTCTGTTGTGTCCGCCAGCCAGAGTGAATAGCCAACTCTCTATCTCTCGCTCGCTCTCTCTCTCTGTCTCTGTCTCTCTGTCTGTCTGTCTCTCTCTGTCTGTCTATCCTTTTCTTGCTCTCTCTCTCTCTCTCTCTCTCTCTCTCTCTCTCTCTCTCTCTCTCTCTCTCTCTATCTGTCTGTCTCTTTCTTTCTTTCTCACTCTCTCTTTCTTTCTTTCTTTCTCTATATATCTATCTATCTCTATCGCTTGCTCTTTCTCGCTCTTTCTCTATATATCTATCTATCTTTATCTCTTGCTCTTTCTCTCTTTCTCTTGTAGTAGCTTTCTTTCCCTATGGTTCTGCCTCCGCAAAACGATTGTCAGAGTGGCGACCGCACACCATCCATCTCACAGAGAGTCCATCTCCTAGCAGACGAAGATGACAACAATATTCTCACAGACGCCCGCCACGCCGCGCCCGATCTCTTGGTGACACCGCGCCTGTTGTTTTGGTGACACAGTGCCTGTTGTCCTGGGGACACCGCGACTACTATCTCGCACACATCACGTCGGTTATCTTGGTGACACCTCGTTAGTTAGTTTTACGATGAGGCGTCAGTTGTCTAAGCGACACCGCGTCTGTTGTCACGACAACGAGTCAGCCTCCCTGCGTGCTCGCACTACCATATACGTCGCTAAGGTAGCAGCGCTCAGTCACAACATCCAGTCCTATAGTTCAGCTACAACACTCAGTCCTATAGTTCAGGTAGAACACTCAGTCCTATAGTTTAGTTAGAACACTCAGTCCTATACTATAGTTTAGTTAGAACACTCAGTCCTATAGTTCAGGTAGAACACTCAGTCCTATAGTTTAGTTAGAACACGCAGTCCTATAGTTTAGTCACAACACTCAGTCCTATAGTTTAGTTACAGCACTCAGTCCTATAGCTATAGTTTAGTTACAGCACTCAGTCCTATGGTTTAGTTACAGCACTCAGTCCTATCTTCCAGTCCTAGTGCACGGATACGAATGTTCAGTCGTAGAGCTCAGCTGCTACACAGTCTGTCATCCAGAGCGCACCCAGGCCTCAGTCGCTCGCTCATCACACGGCATGACCCTACTACGTACACACGTACTCACACACACCGTGCGCACGGATCAGTGCTCGGCGAAGGAATGGAGCCGAAAAACTCGTGCTTCCACTTATGACCGCGGCTACTGGGGACGGCAGCTATCGCGTGGAGGGCGGCGTG